CTCATGCCACCCCTCTCAGCAGCACAGTGCATGCCAGGGCTGCAAATCATTGAGCATCATAGTGGGAGCACGTGGGGACCCCACTCGGATCTACAAATGTTGGGCTTTGGTAATGTCTCAATGAGTGGACCCAAACCAGGTCTTAGGAGGGTCATGAGGTACTCCTGCTGCTGACCTGAGTAACTGGAAGAGTCGAACAGATGGTTCCATGGAGGACGTGAAGAGATACTTAGCGACGGTAATGGCCCTGCCCAGCACAGCGGTGTGCAGAGTGGCCCCTGCCCCCAACATGTTCACGCAGCTGCCAGCCCCCTGGCTGGGCGGGTCCGGGCAGGCACTTCCTCCCAGGCCTGGTGAGACGTCAGACATTGGCCTTCCTAGGTCAGGCGGGCCTGTCTTCAGCTGCGCCGAGGATGTAGTTTGTATAAACGGCAGATGTCGTGGGCACACTGAGTAAACACAGACTATCTCCCAGGCCAACGTTTCCTCTGGGAGGCTCATCCTCCAACTGGGACACTTGATTCCAACTCTCTTATCAACTGGAGCTTCCTATCCTGATAAAAGGAAGCTATTCAAGTCCGTTTCCTGGTATTGCCTTGACCCTGCCGGGGCAGGCTTGCATTGAAGTGAGTGCCCCTTAGAAGGGAATACTTTTCACCTTCAGAAACCCATTATGCAGCCTCAGATCCCCACATCAAGGAAGCCAGCAGGCCTTTGAGAACCTGGGCGGCCAAAGCCTTATGCCTTTAACATTTACCTTCTGGCTCAGCTAGTTCAAGTGCCTTTCCTTCGCTTTGGGGCTGTCCTTGAACAGGCCCAGGCTAGGCTGCCTCTACGTCTAGACTTTTTTCCCCCTCCCAATGTCAGGTCCCCCCTTGCTAATCCTCAAATAGGTCCTGCTCACTGCTTTTAAACTCTTCCTCATACTCCCCCTGCTTCCCTACCCCCCTTATGATTAGAAAAGTCCTACCCTCCTCTCTTTCCAAGTACTACGGAAGCAAGGCATATGAGAAAAAGAAATGGTAAAAGATATCCTTTAAGATTTAGCTTAAAAATCAAAACAATACCAAGTATTCCCCGAGTCCTCTAGCCTTCAGTTTTCCTCACTGAAACCCTATGAGGTCAGAGTCTCAGCCACACAGTTTAGGACTGTGGCAGCCAGCCTCCAGGACGGCCCCGAGTGAGTCCCTACTGGGATCCACACCCTTGCATAACTCATCCCAAAACGAACAGGGCCGACCCATGTACTCAACAGGTTCTTGTGGCACAGATTCACAATGAAAGACACGTGGTGTCCACCTTGCTCTCCAGGGTTACTCCTCAGAGAAGCCCGCCACAGCACTGTGAAGACGCCCCAGCAGCCCATGCAGGCGTCCTGGCCATTCGAGAAATCCCAAACTAGAGCCATGCAGCTATACGTTGCTGCCAAATCCCTGATCCACACAAACTATATGAGACAATAATGTTGATTATTGTATTACGCTGCTAAACTTTTTTTTAAATCCTTACCCTAGGATTTCGAGAGAGGAAGGGAGAGAGATATGTAAGAGAGAAACATCGATCGGTTGTCTTCCCTATGTGCCCCAACTGGGGATCGAACCTGAAATACAGGTATGTGCCCTGACCAGGAATCGAACTGGCAACCCTTTGGTGTGCAGGACAACACTCAACCAACTGAGCCACGCTACTGCTTATAACTTAAAAATAAACACGATAGCCGAAACCGGTTTGGCTCAGTGGATAGAGCGTCGGTCTGCGGACTGAAGGGTCCCGGGTTCGATTCCGGTTAAGGACATGTACCTGGGTTGCGGGCACATCCCCAGTGGGGGGTGTGCAGGAGGCAGCTGATCGATGTTTCTCTCTCGTCGATGTTTCTGACTCTCTATCTCTCTCCCTTCCTCTCTGTAAAAAATCAATAAAATATATTTAAAAAAAATAAACAGGATAATAATAATTAACATACTGAGTGCTTGGTAAGTGCCAGGCACTGCTTAGCACTTTATACATAGTATCTCACTTAATAGTGCAGTCAATCCAATGAACACTGACATCGTGCCAGCAACTGTTCTGAGTGCTTCACACACTCCATCCAACCCTCAGAAGCGGCTGTGACTGGTACATGTAAGGAAGTTGAGATAGGAAGAAGTTGAGTAACGTCTTCAGTCCAGGGCCCGCAGCATGGATGTGGCTGAGTGGGATCAGAGGCCAGCCTGGCCCGAGGCCTGTGCCCTGGGCCCTCTTTCCTATGCGGGCCAGGCTGTTCTGTGGGACTCTTGGCTCCCCAACACAGGCAGACTCTCTTTCCCCAGTGACTGGGTCCTTTGCCTTAGCTTCCCACCTCGTGCACATAGGAAAGGGCTCCGTAAATGCTTGTAGATCTGTGGCATTCCTTAGCTCAGCACCTACTCATTCCACCAATCGATGGTGCCCCGATCCCATGCAAACTCCCATGCAAATGCAGTAAAGCTTTTCCAGGCGCGAGCACGTCCTACAGAGCCGCTGAAACAATGGACAATTGCGCTGCCTAAAGAAACGTATTTTAAAATATATATTGGCCCTAGGCGTCTGGTGCAGTCTCTTTTCTTTTCTTTTTATTGATTTCAGAGAGGAAGGGAGAGGGAGACAGAAACATCAATGATGAGAGAGATTCATTATCGGCTCCCTCCTGCATGCCCCACACTGGGGATCGAGCCTGCAACCCGGGCATGTGCCCTGACCAGGAATTGAACCGTGACCTCCTGGTTCAACCACTGAGCCACGCTGGCTGGGGAAGAAAGATATTTTTTTGCTAGACCCATGAAGAGTCTCACTCAGCTGGCTTGTTCAAACAGGCTGCTGGAACTGTGAGCCAGGACTGTGCCTGGGGCTTGGACCTGTGGGCATCGTGTTCCTGAGTCCTCCAGGCTCCTAACCTGCCCACTCAGGGTACTTAGCTCCCCCTGAGGACCCTTCCATGCATCAATCAGACGCTCCGAGGAACCTCTGGCTTCCATTTCACTTGAAAGCACAATCATTCTAATTCCACCTGAACACCGGCTCCTCCTGGTCTGGGAGCCTGGGCTGTGAGTGAGCTGGGAGGAGAGGGGGTGGATTCGGCAAACCTGTGGGTCCTGGTTTGAGAGGGTCGCTGGCAGGGGTGCTGGCAGGAGCCTGATAGGAACGGGTGGCTGACAAACCTCCTCTGAGTAAGGTTTCTTGGTGTCATCTTGCTCCTGCCTTGACATGACGACTCAAACTGCTTTAAAAATTCATCCTAGTCAATATTTGTTGAGCTCCGACTAGGGGCGGAACCGCAGACTATACAGATTATTCCCAGGACAGAGGAGACAGATGAAAGTGGAATGCGCTATTCAGACCACTTGAAAGGCCTGGGCAGTGGAGGAGAGGGCACTGCGGGCTCCAGGCTCCGGAGGGGAGCGTGGTGCTCACAGCCACCTGGATGTTATCTGATGGCGCTGGTCCTCGAGCAGCGGGAAGCAGGATCCGGGCTGGCTGGAGCGAGCGCTTGGGACTCTGTTCCAAGGGCTTCCTGGAAAGACAGGAGGAAGGACAGGAAAGCACAGGCTCTTCATTCCCAGCCGGCTTCTCAGTGCGGCACTGAGTCACCCTCGGGAAACTGTCAGCAGGTTCCACCGAGCATCTCGAAGCTCCCCGGGTTGTCCTGACCATGCGTGAGAGCCAGTGTGTCCCAGGGGCTGGCCTGTGTGCACAGGCACAAAAGCTATGCCAGGCTCGGGGACACTCCTGGAAACCCCGGCTCTGACTGGACTTCCCCTACCCTGGTGACCAGCCGCACCGGCTCAGTCCACAGCGCTGGAAGCCTGCAGGGGGCTGGCTCAGAGCTGGGAGCTGGGACTCGAATGTACTTAGGATACACCCTCGGGGACCTTGGCTTTACACATTAGCACACATCACAGACCTCTGGAGTCACTTCTGAGCTACAATTTTAAACCGGTGACTGCCAGGAAGGACTCCGAATTCCCAGGAAGAGGTGTCAGAGCCCCTCTCAGGGCCCGCGTCCCCAGCTGCAGAGTCTCCTGGGGCTGCCGTGACGAAGCCCCCCAACTTAAGGCAACAGAAAGGCACTGTCTCGGTTCTGGACGTGGCAAGTCCTGAATCCGGGAGTGGGCAGGGCCGCTCTCTGACAGCTGTGGGGCAGACCCGCTGGGACATCAGGCCAACTCGTCAGCTCCTGGGGTTTGCTAACGCTCCTCAGCCTCGGCTAGGAACGCGCAGGACCATCTGCTCATCTGCCCCCTGTGTGTCTTCAGGCCACCGTCCCTCTGTCCACATTTTCCCGTTTTATACGGATACTTATATTGGATTAGGGCCCACCTAACCTCATTTTATTTTTTGAGAGCGAGCGAGAGAGAGAGCTTTGTTGTTCCACGTAGTTATGCCTTCATTGGATGAGTGGCTCTGAGGGGGGCTCTGGCATGTTGGGACAATGCATTAACCAACTGAGCTACCCTACCTGGCCAGGGTCCCCAACCTCATTTTAACTTTTTTTTTTTTTTGTGGAGACCCTATTTCCAAATAAGGTCACACTCTGAAGTACTGAGTGTCAGGACATAGCTTTGGGGGATACAATTCAACCCATACCACCAGTCTCACCAGCCTATTCTTGGCAAAGCCCATATCCCAGAGGGAGAGGAGGAGGGATGGAGCAAGGCCAAGGAGGAGATAGTAGGAATTAGACTCAAGAGCACGCACAGACAGAGGTGGTGGCCTTGACCAGGAGAAGGGACACCTACCTCTGACAGGAGTGATTGAAGACGCGTGGAGGGGGAGGCGTGAGTCAAGGCCACCAGCTGCAAGGCTGAGCTGAGCGGATGGATGGATGGATGCGGTCTTGCCTGGTGAGAAGGAGAGGAGTAGAGGTTTGATGGGGACTTGAGAGGAGGGCCAATGTGTGGAAGAGCTGCAGAGGGAGCCAGGAACCTTGAGATTGAATTCCTGGGGTTTCACAGTTGGATTTCCCTCCAGTTCTCTGACTCACTTGCATATGGAATTGCCCCAATGCCCTGGGGGATTTGAAGGTGAGTCTGTGGGGTGGGAGGGCCCAAAGAGGCTACTGAAAGTTAGCTCACATGACTGACCTGGAGTCCAGGCTGAGTGGGGTTGGGATGTGTGACCAGGGAGGGCCTGATGGGGTGGGCGCTGGCAGTGACGGCATTGAGCAGGGAGTGAGGGAGAAAAGGCTGGAGGGCCTGGAAGCTGCTCACAGGACCAGGAGCTGAAATCCAAGTTGTACGGGTGGCATCGTTCTGGGTGGGGAAAGGTGCAGGGTGTGGCTTTGGACATGGGGTGGGTAGTGAAGTAAAGGGACAACAGAGGTCCTGGGGGGTCTATGAGAACGGGAAGTCTGATGATCACCGAGGGGAACCCTGAAGCCACTCCCGATGAGGACACAGGGAAAAAACCTGGAGCCATACCCAGTGGGTGAAAGGAGGCACAGCGGGGTACTATACACCCCAGAGGAGGCTGGCCTTTAGTGTCTGAGTGGTAGAGTGTGGGAGGAAGCAGAGAAGTCAGCTACAGCCACCTTTGGTGTGGGGGCAGGGGGGTAGGGCTGCTGAGTTTCAGGTGGGGTCCTGGGTGGAGAAGCGTGCAGTGCAGAATGGGGGGCGGGGGAAGCATGAGGAGGTTGGCAAGCCCCTGGCTGTACCTCTGGGGAGTGCCTGCAGTCCAGAGGGGACAGGGAGCCCCTGGGAGCAGTGGGTGTCACAAGCAGGCACGGAACCAGGGCTAACGAAGAGGAAGGAAGCCGGGCTCTGATGGGGCCTAGGGTCCGGAAGGGGCCCAGGCCTGCAGCAACGGTCACCCACGTGGAGGCAGGGAATCGGGCAGAGGTCACGTGCCCAGGAAAAAGTGAGTCCCCTGAAATGACTAAAGAAGCAGGTGGCAGGGGGTGGGCCAGGGAGGAGGGGGGAAGGGAGGCAGCATTTAGACCCACTCGGGAGCAGAGATGTAAGGGTGACGGGGGGTGGAATCTGAAAGTGTCTAAATAAAGAAAGGGGGCCGTGTGGATGTTAGACAATCCTCGCAGGTGCCCGTGCTTTCATTTCCTCTGTGTCTCCTGGATCAGTCACCTTCCTGCGCCCTTGAAGACGGTGGCATTCCCAGGAAAATCAGAGCCAGAAAGCGGGGTGGGAGCCTTGGAAAGTCCCTCGCTTTGGGACGTCGCGGTTGGGCGGACACACTTGGTCCTGCTCCCCATCTGTTTGCTTTCAGAGAGGTGTCTGCTGGGAGCTGAAGGAATGGCTGAGCCTGCCGCTGGAACACCAGGGAAACCAGAACCCTCGGGGAGAGCCTGGTGGCCTGTGTCCCTGAGGGTCGTCAGCTGGTGTCCACTGGGGCCAGAGCAGGGCAGAGTGTGGACTCGGTAGAACCAGCTTGCCTGGAGTGAAACCCCAGCTCTGTCACCACTCAAGGCTACATGACCCGGGTGGTTTTTTAAAGCCTCTTGGACTCGGTTTCCCCATCTGTAAAATGGGGATCATGAATGGGGATCACTTTCTCTCTGGAGATGTGAGGACTGAATGAGCTGAGAGGTGCAAGGACCCAGCACCCTGTAGACAGCCAGGAAAGGTGGGCTGTCTCCTTCAGCATCACCTGTGGTGTCCCAAGGAGATCTGACAGAGCAGAGGCGTGAGGACAGGTGGAGGCAGTACAGCAGGCCTGGGTCCCCCACGTGCAATGAGGTGCTTTCGCCCTCCCATCCTTGAGCAGCACCCTCAGCCCTGCTCACTCACAGGCAAGGGAGGCAGGGGCTGGGTGTCCCCGGGGGTGGAGGTACCTGTCTTGAATGCCTGCCAGTGGGAATTCAGGTTGGGTGCTTAAACTCAGAGGGGCCCAGCACTAAAACCCACTCCTCTCCCCAGCCACCCAGGGCTCCCTTAAGACCTGAGTGAGTGTGTGGTCTCTGCCTGAGTTGGATAGACTGAGCATGGAGACAGCACTTTCAGTTCGGATAAAGGCTGAATTGGAGACCTGAGTTTAGTTTGCGATTCGAACGGGCCTGCAGGAGCTAGAACGGGGCAGGTATCTGGTCGGCTCCCGGGTGAGTGGCAGGAGCAGGGGGGCGGGTGTTGGTATTCTTCGCTGAGCCAGGGAACAGTGACGGAGGCAGAGCTGCAGCCTGGGCAGGATGCTCTCAGGTTTGGACTGTGACCACAAAGCTGAGATCCCAAATGCCACGTGAGGTCACAGCGATGGGCAGACAACACTGGACGTGTGGCTCTCAGGAAAGAGGTCTGTGAGGCGTGCGATGTGGCTGAGCCACGTTTAAGATAAGGATGGCAGCCACATTCACCAAATCATCAGCATGTGAGAGAGATGACCACATCGTCATTGACGGATGGGGACACTGGGACACGGACAGGCTATGAAACCGGCTCCAAAAACTCCTGAATGGCAGTGCTGGGAACGGGGCCCCGGGCAGCGAGGCTAACCCATCTGTCTGCTTAACTGTCCGGCGACCCTGGAATGCTATAAGTGTGGGTGTGCCGGGCCCCGCCTTTCCTTTTACAAGTGAAGAAAAAAATTCATCAAGAATAAATCACTCACTTGAGGTCACCCCAGCTAGTTATAGCAGGGTTGGACCAGAATCCAAACCTCCTCACTCCCAGTACATTCCTTTCCCTCGGACATTCCATTTCAGGTTCTTTAAACTTCTGTCCCCAGATTAGATATTATTACATTTTTACAAATGCTTTTCCTCTATTTCTAAATTTGCAGTAGTGAGCATGTATATGTATAGTGGAAAAAAAGAGACCTAGAAAAGCAAAGACATCAATATTATTAAGCAGACCCACCTGACTTCCACGTAAAGGAGGCGTATTGTGGCGTCTCGGGGGGTAGAGAAGATGGGACGGTATCGTCATGTTTGCCTTTGAAAATTTCTAGCAGGTGTTTCTGGGAAATGTCTGCTCTGGACTCATTGTAAGAACTCCGCTCCCTAGGATGGAGAGAAAATATTTCTTATTACAGGGGGACCTAGTGGGGTGACTATGTGACATCCTTGAAGGCCTGGCATCCGTCTGCATTCCCCCTCCCGCTTCCTCCCTCCCTCACTTACCCACCTCACCTAGAAATTATGGAGGTGCCGGGGAAAGAGGTGGTCTAGGCTTGCAGGAATGAGACACATCCTTTTACTTCTGAGCTGAGCTGATCCATTTAGATGAACAGACGAGCTCTAATCAATTGTCTTGTCCGAAGAGCAAGATGTTTATCAAACTCGAATATAATTTCACCACACTGTTCTTTCTCCAGCAGGCTTCTTGGACTAAAATAAAACAAGGCAGTTCCAAAAAATCATTTGGGTAAATAGAGTTGTTTATCTTGAAGGCTGTTGAGATGGCTCATTTTTTCCCTTTCTTCCCCATCTTGTCCAAATTCATCAAGCCATCTCCCACTCACCATTCACATATCATTTAGTTAGCATATTTATATCCCGAGTCATTCCAAAAATGAGTTGTTGTGGCTTCAAAGAAAAAAGCCCAGACTATAAAAAACCCATGGTATATGAACGCAAATAGGAAAACAGGTTGGAGAAGAAAATTAAAAACCAAATACTCATTTCAGTTGTTCCAAGGGAGCCTACTGCCATATATACTCAAAGTGTTCTGCCTTTTGAGATGGAACAGGAAACAACGCTCTCTTGATCGGGGAAAGGGACACCTTGTGGGTGGTTTCAAAGAAAAGTGAGTTTCCCTTGGTACTGAACTTGGAAAGAAACGTCTCCTACGGTAGACGGCAGAGAGAGAGGCTGGAAATCCTGACAACAGTGTTGGCTCGGATCAGAATTTGTTCATAAAGGATTCGCATGACTCATCCCCACAGTGACTTCTGATAACAATTAGAAACCCTAACACTGCACTTTAGCCCAGAGATGCTGAGTCACTGCGGGCAGTCGATCAGGTCTTGATCAAAGCACACGGACTCTCGCTGGCAAGAACTTTTGGAACCGAGTGCTGTTCCTAACGTATCGGCTCTTCTCCTATTTTGTGTCTTTGTTTGAACATATAAACACGTGTCATCAATGTTGCCATCCAAATCATTATGATTTTTAAAAATATATATATTTTTTATTGATTTCAGAGAGGAAGGGAGATGGAGAGAGAGACAGAAACATCAGTGATGAGGAAGAATCATTGATCACCCCACACTGGGGATCGAGCTCGCAACCCTGGCATGTGCCCTTGACTGGAATCGAATCTGGGACCCTTTAGTCCGCAGGCCGACGCTCTGTCTCCTGAGCCAAACCAGCTAGGGCCAAATCATTATGATTTTTAACAGGATGCAATGTAGGGTGAATCTTGTGATGTGCGACTACAGACCTATCTCTATGGTCTAACCCGCACTGGTTAGGGAGGGTTTTGGGGGATATGGTCATCCAGACTTGATTCCACTTAAATTAGTTCTCATCTGATCTATTTACTTTGCCATGTCTCTGTTTAGAACGGAGTCAATGAGGCATACAGGTTATGCATAATATAAAATAGTGAAGTGTACATGAAAAATCAGGACAACACATTCACTATGGCATCAGGACCAGGCTGAGAGGAGGGTGAGGTTGGACAGATTGAAGATATTGATGACAGCGCAGCTCTGCTGCTGCTGGTTTGCTCTGGGCTCCCTGGGCGGGAGGGACAGTGCTCACTTTTCCCCTTCGGTCCATAGGCGTCTTGCTGGCACACCACTATGCTGTTTCCGTCATTCCCTGATCTGTAGCCCATTTCCTCTGGGGAAAGCTAACTAAAGATGGTACCTTTTGCTCCTTGTGACCTAACAAGAGCCTCCAGTGGCCTTCAGTTCCATTCATAAGAGCTCTTGGGGCATCTTAGCTCTGTGCTGCTCTTCCATTCTTGTGTCTACCCCAGGCTTCACTGCCTGCTCAGAGTCTGTCTCCCTCACTCATAACTTGAGCTCACCCCTGGCTTTGCTTCATCGTGGGTCTGATTCCACCGTGGGGCTTTTTTAAATTTTTTTCTCCAGATTTGGCCACCTCTCCTAGCCAGCTCGAGTGGCTATTTCCCAGCTCGAGTGGCTATCATGGGTCAGGAATAGCTGGCTGCTCCAGGGCATCAGTATATATCAGGCCATGTAACAATCGGCCTGTTTTTGGAGTGGTGGCCTGGGGCAGGTCCTCCAGTGTCCCTGGTCCAGTTTGCCAGGTGTTAAGTCCCATGGTCCAAAGTATGAGCCAGGGGGTGGGGCGGGGATGTGGAAGGAGCTGTGGGTGAAAATATTTTCCTTGCAAAGAGGTTTAAGTCTGGCAAGCAATCAAGGACCTCGTGTCTTTGTCCTGGTGGGGGGTTGAGCTTGGGCATAGCAAACCAGCTGCCTTTTTGCCTCTGCTGCCTTTGGTTTGCAAAATAAAGACCTTTGTCTTTCTGAAAATCTTCTGAGTTGTTCAAGTCATTCTCCTTGGAAGTGTGTCAGGTTTTGGGAAGCCCTGCATAGCAACCCTTTTACATGTATTAGGCATATAGATTTCTGAATGTATTGCACTATAACCCTCTTCCCACTTTTTTGGTTAAATGCCATATTGATTTATAATCTGTGGAACAAGTCCTTTTAGACCTTTGCTACTCATATTGAGGTCAGCATGGGCATTGCCTGGGAGCCTGTTGGAAATGCAGCACCTTAGCCTCACTTGGATCTACTGGATCAGAACCTCATTTTCACAAGTTCTCCAGCGTGTGCCTCAGTTTGAGAAGCACGACCTGTACTGCCAACCTTGGGAAGTGCTGAATGATTCGCAGGGATTGGGCCTTCAAGAGGTGGTGTGACTTGCCTGCATCCCCCCATGGGTCAGGAATAGATCTGGAGTCAGAATCCGGGTGTCCTGAGTCCTAGTCACACTCTCTTCCCAGCACCCCATGATGTCTCCTCATCTAGGAAACGCGGAGGCTCGATGAGATCATTGTCAGGACATGTGATCAGCATGATCAGGATTTATCATCCATAGTCGCTCTGGAGAGTGCAAGAGGATACCGTGAACTCCTGAGCACAAGAGATGCAAAGAGCCGCAGGTGGTCACTCTGTATACCTGGGTTTTTTTCTGCTTTACAGAGCCCTCTCACGTCTGTCAACTAATTTAAACAGCACAAGTAGCCAATGACTAGATGCTCTGAAAGTGCTTACTATTCAATAAAATCTCGCTCTCAAGTAACCACACACACAGTCACACACACACAGTCACACTGTCTCATCTTAGCAGATAAATCACAATCTAACAGGAAAAAAGGGAGAAAGCCCAAATCAACAAAACATGAGAATGGGGAAAGGGTCGCAGATACACACACATTTAAAGCAATTCTGGCCCTAACCGGTTTGGCTCGGTGGATAGAGCGTCGGCCTGCGGACTCAAGGGTCTCAGGTTCGATTCCAGTCAAGGGCATGTGCCTTGGTTGCAGGCACATCCCCGGTGGGGAGTGTGCAGGAGGCAGCTGATCGATGTTTCGCTCTCCCTTCCTCTCTGTAAAAAATCAATAAAATATATTAAAAAAAATAAAGCAATTCTGAAATGACTTTGCCTAACTGTTTCCAAAGCGTTTGATCACCTGGATGAAGAGGGTGGCTTCCCCCTTCCACACACCACTGCACGGGCCCAGCTGGAGCTGCAGGCTGCATGTCATGGCTTTCTGCCAAGTCATTTCCCTGTGAGTCAACCCGACTTCAGGGTTTGGTTTCTGAAACCGCTATTCCAGGGCTTTAATTCTGAGCTAAGATGTCTGGGTAGCTTGGCAGGAGCTGGGCTCTTCCGCCCGGGTGGGAACCAGATTATCTGGAGAGTTGTTCGCATGATGCACCGCGTATGGCAATGTCCACCCACCCTTTTCTGACATCTGCTTTATCTGCTGCCCGCCAGTAGCCCAGCTCTAGAAATGAAAAGCAAGCATGTCTCCGATCCTGAGAATCCTGAGTGTTAGACCTCAGAGGTCCCATCTTGTCATCTCATCACACCCCCCCCCCTTTTAAAAAAGTTTTAATTTATTTTAGAGAGAGAGGAAGGGAGAGCGAAACATCGATCAGCTGCCTCCTGCACCAGGGATCAAACCCACAACCTCGGTATGGACCCTGACAGGAATCGAACCAGCAATCTTTTGGTGCACAGGGCGACACTCAACAACTGAGCCACACTGGCCAGGGCTCACCCCTCCTTTTATAGATGAAGAAATGCAGAGTAAGGAGTGGGAGGTAACTGTCAAGTTGTGTGCTCTATTGCACTATCTTTAATAATACTAATATTAATAACAACTGATATCTACTGATTTGTTACTCCATCTCCCCTTAACAACTCTATGAGGTAGGCAATCATTGCATCATCCCCACTTTACAGAAACAGAAGCACAGAGAGGGTAAGTAACTTGCCCCAAAACACATAGCTAGTTAGTAAGTAGGAGTTGGGATCTGATGACAAGTGATCCGCTTGCATGCAGAGCCTGTATTCTCACCTCCATTTACTCCTCCAACAGTTCTCTTATTATTCGGACATGATATGACAGATCACTCAGATTACGTCTATAACAGAGCAACTCGGCATGGTGATCTTTAGGGTCTCAACAGACGTAAGAGAAGCTATGGTTTATCCAACATTCAGCACATGTCTGCCACGGTTACAAGTGCTTTTACTAGCATTAGCTCAGTAATCTCAAAACCAAAACCACCCCCCCCCAAAAAAAAACCCCAACCCCAAACAAAACACACAGGAAGAGGGTGCAGTATCCTCACTGATCAAATGGGAAAATGAAGGCCACAGAGTTTTCATATCTCCACTGAGATCCAACAGCTAAGTGGCAAATCCAGCGTTCAGAGCCAGCCCATCTGGCAGGTGAGCATTCATCTCAGCCAACTACGCTCCACTGCCAACTGACTCGGTTATTCATTCCGTCCTCACCACCAGACAGGCAGGTGTCATTTCCCACCCACTCATTTGCTTTTCTCTGGTTAGATGAGGAAACGGACCTGCTTGTGATGCTTAAGTAACTTGCTAACAGCCATCCAGTGACTTGGTGGCAGGTCAGCCAGGGACCCAAAGCCCGTGTGAACTATTTGCACTTGTCCAGGCTTTAGTGCTGTGGGCCGAGGCCTCTCTGCAACAGATCCTCCCACTGGCGGGTCTCACCTGAGGCTCTGCCGCGTCACAGCGGAGCCACACACTGCCCCCTGGCGGCAGGTGGGCGCAAGCGCCGCACATGCTGAAAAGCTCGCGGCGCGGCTCGCTGATTGGCTGGCGCGGATCCAGCTACTTTCCGAGGGGCAGGAGCCCAGCGCTAGCAAAGGGGTGCCCCTGCCCACGCCCTCCGGGTCCCCCAAACACCCCTTGGAGTGAAGGGCGTGCGAGGCACGCTGGCCCTTTCACTTGCGGGCCTCTCCTCTTTTCTACCTGTGGTGTTCTGGTTCTGAATTCATCCAGGGTCCAGGATGACAATCCGGCACCAAGGCCAGCAGTACAGGCCGAGGATGGCATTTCTCCAGAAGGTAAGCTGGTCTGCCACCTGGGCCTGGGGAGTGCGCGGGACCCAACTCTGAGAAGTGTCCGCGGAGATGCTGGAGGCACAGAGCGGGAAGAGCATCCCTTGTGGTCTTGGATGACAGATACGTGGTGTAATGACAACAGTATCTGCTTAGGTTTCTCCGCTGCCTGTAGGTCTTGAAGAATCGGCACTGCCTGGCCAGAATACTGGAGGTGAAGAGCCTGTTCCCGGAGCTCCCTCTCTGGGGCGGCTGTTTCTCCAGAGGCCCCTGTCGCCTAGGACTCGGTGGCCCACAGAATGCACCCTGGGCCGCCCTCCTTTCTCTGACTCCCTTTCCCAAACCGCTGCTGCCATTTGTCAGGATCAATCCCCCCACCCACACTAAGAGGTTATGATCCCATTTTACGGGTAAGGAAACGGAGGAGCAACCCTGGAAAGTTGTGATACAGTGACACTGGTCTCACTACAATGGGAGAAACAGAGTACAGAGCGCAGTGGGAGGGAGCTTCTACCATTGATTCCATGTGAGGAGTAGGGGGAGAGAACCTCCAAGCTGAGACTGAAGGATGCTGGGGCTTCTGTGGAGAAAGGGCAGAAGGAAGACCCCGCAGTGGGGGCAGAGGGTGTGCCAGAGCAGAGGCGTGTGCCAGTCTGGTGTGTTCGAAGCAAGCTGTTCGCAGGTGCTGAACAAAGGTGGATCATGAAGATCTTCTCTGCCTTTCAAAGGTGGTCCAGTGTTCCCCAAAGGAAGCCATTCAGGAATTTGGAGCAGGTAAGTGATGTAGTCAGATTCAAGTTCAACAGACTACTCTGATGTGAGCCAGAGGACTAGTTGGGGTGTCTTCTTTTTTTTAAAAAAAATGTTTTTTAAATTGATTTTAGAGAGAGGGAGAGAGAGAGAAACACTGAGACATCGATGAGAGAGAAACATTGATTGGTCGTCTCCTCTGCCATCTGCCTCAAGAACCTCCTCACATTCTTCAAGATGCAGCTAAACCACCACCAAATCTTCCAGAATCCCTCCGTGATGTCCCGCCCAGGAGACAGTAAATGCCTGCACTTAGACGCTTCCTCTACCCTCCAGGTGTCTGTCGTGGCACCTCTGATGTGCCATTGTGTTGGTGTATGTGGCTATCTCCTACTACTTGACTGGAAGCCACTTGTCTTAAATGTCTTTGCTATCCCAGCGTCTATGAATGTCTGACACATAGTAGGAGCTCAATAAATGTTTGTTAAATGGAGGAATGTATACATGACACAGCAATTCTAAATCCGCCTAAGCCCCATTAAGATCCCTACTCTTTGTAGGCCTTGCCTAAGCCCAACTCGCTCCCTAAGGGGAAGAGGAGAGCATTTTGGAGAGCTGAAGGATCTTCCTCTCCCCCTCCCCTTCTTCCCCTCTAAAGGTCAGGGCTGCCAGGAAGGACATAGGAGATGACAGGCAGGAACTGAAACAGAACCTGTGGATGCTGAGGTCACAGGTGGCAGGCCACCTAGTCATGCTCTTGGCTCCATGGTGTGTCATCAGCGGGCTCCCTCCGGCAAAGCTCCTGGACTGTGGATGCGCCATCTCTTTCCACCACATCTTAAACAAGCCCAGAACCCCTCCCCCGTGGGGTGCCAGTCACCAGGCCTTGCAACAGAAATCAGAGGCAGCGGCAGTGTGGCTGGTGGGCCTCTCTGGTGTCGCACTGGGCAGAGGCCCAAGGTAAGTCTCGTATGTAAGCTCCTTGGCTTATGAACCCTGCCACTAGAACCATGCAGAAACATCACTTCTTTAATATGACCTTTTCTCCTTTCCCCCTTTTTGATTCAAACTAGCCTCATCCAGGCAAGAACATACAATGGGGTAAAGACAGTCTATACAATAAATGGTGTTAGGAAAACTGGACAGATATGCACAGAAAAATGAATTGAGACCCCCTTCTTATACCATACATACACAAGAATAAACTCAGAATGGATTAAAGACTTAAATGTAAGACTTAAATGTATTAAACCATAAATATAATAGAAGAAAACATAGGCAGTAAAACCTTGGACATTTCTCATAGCAATATTTTTTTTGGCTATATCCCCTAGAGCAAGGGAAACAAAAGAAAAAAAATAAACAAATGGGGCTACATCAAACTAAAAAGTCTTTGCACAAAAGAAAACATTAATAAAATGAAAAGACAACCCAATGAATGGGAGAACATATTTGCCAATGATATATCTGGTAAGGGGTTAATGTCCAAAATTTATAAATCATACAGCTCACCTAGCCTAGATTGCTCAATGGTTGAGCATCAACCTATGAACTAGGAGGCCACAATTTGATTCCCAGTTAGGGCACATGCCTGGGTTTTGGGCTTGATCCCCTGTGTGGAGCGTGCAGGAGACAGCTGATTGATGATTCTCTCTCATCATTGATGTTTCTATTTCTCCCTCTCCTTTCCTTTCTGAAATCAATAAAAATATATTTTAGAAAAAGAAAGAAAAAAAAGAATTATATAGCTCAACACCAAAAACATAAACAACCAAATTTAAAAAGGGGCAAAGGACCTGAATAGACACTTTGCTCTAAAGAGGACATACAGATGGCCAATAGACATATGAAAAGATGCTCAAGGTCACTACTCATCAGAGAAATGAAAATTAAAACCACAGTGAGATATCACCTCACATCTGTCAGAATGGCTACCATCAATAAATCAACAAATAACAAGTGTTGGTCGGGATGTGGAGAAAAGGGAACCCTTGTTCACTGTTGGTGGGAATGCAGACTGGTGCAGCCACTGTGGAAAGCAGTATGCAGTTACTTTAAAAAATTAAAAATGTAACTGCCTTATGACCCAGCAATTCTGCTCTGAGAATATATCCAAAGAAACCTGAAACATCAATTCAAAAGAACAGATGCACCCCTATGTTCATTGCAGCATTATTTACAACTAGAGGCCCGGTGCATGAATTTGTGCACAGGTGAGGCCCAGCCAGCACACCCCGATCCCCCACCTGCTGGTTGAACTCCTGGTTGAACTCCCCGTTGAGGGGAAAATTTGCATATTAGCCTTTTATTATATAGCATAGCTAAGATCTAGAAGCAGCCAAGTGCCCATCAGTAGATGAGTGGATAAAAAAAATCTATGGTACATTTATACAATGAAATACTACTCGGCCATAAAAAAGAATGAAATCTTACCTACACAACAGTATGGATGGACCTGAAGAGTATTATGCTAAGTGAAATAAGCCAGTCAGAGAAAGACAAATACCATACGATTCACTTATATGTGGAATCTAATGAAGAAAACAGAAACAGAGTCATAGGTACAGAGAACAGACTGACAGTTGTCAGAAGGAGGGGGGTTGGGTGAAAAGGGTGAAGGGATTAAGAAAAAACAATAACCCTCATACACACAGACAACAGATTATCAGAGGAAAAGGGGGGAGGGGAGGTAGAAGAGGGTAAAAGGGGGATCAATGGTGATGAAAGGAGACTTGACTTTGGGTCGTGAACACAATGCAATATACAGATGATTACAGAATTGGACTCTTGAAACCTATATCATTTTATTAACTAACTAGAGGCCGATGCACGAAATTCGCGCAAGGGGCTCGGTCCTTGCAGCCCCGGCTTCATCCGGAAGGTCATTTGGTTGTTCAGTCTAATTAGCATATTACCCTTTTATTCTTATAGATGTCACCCCAATAAACTCAATAAAAATTAAGGTAAATAAAATTAGTTAAAAAATGAAACAAACTGGCCTAGTCCAGCACCCTGGCTTACCTGTCTCCTTCTCCCTTGCACGTCCACTCCCTTAATCTTTAAGCCCTCAGGATAATGAGGCCCCGGTTGCCGGTCAGCATTAAGCAACGCCAGGAACAAAGCCTCAGGCCTATTGACCACAGAGACAGTTTTAGTCAAAGATAACATCTAGGCCTCAGTTATGTTTCTGCTCCAGACTCGGAAAAGTGAACCAACTCCACCGACCACATCCTGGTGAAACTAGCTGAAGCGAAGTCAGGACCAGAAGCAATGATCCCCTGTCCCCTACCCTGGCACCGACACGATCAGTGGAGATCATGACCCTAACCCCCTTAGTCACCATGATTACTGATTCTCCCTCTATGTAACCCACCTCCTGGAAGCCATCAGAGAGCCGTTTTCTTCCCTCTCACCTGTGACTCCGGGTGTGGTGCCATTTCCTTAAAAATAAAACTTTGCCCTGGCTGGTGTTGCTCAGTGGTTAGAGAGTTGGCCCCGAAGGGTCGAGGGTTGATTCCCACTCAAGGGCACATAAGTGGGCTGCAGGTTTGATCCCTGGCCCGTGGTCAGGACTCGTGCAGGAGGCAACCAATTGATGTGTCTCTTTCACATTGATGTTTTTCTTTCTCTCCCCTCTCTCTACAAAGCAATGGAAAAAATACCTTCAGGTGAGGATTGAAAAGAATAATAAAATAAACCTTCATTTTCTTGGCTACAAACTCCTGTTGGTGTTTCAGTGGGCTTGGATGCCTGCAGGCAAGCAAACCCTTTAGTTCGGTAACACCGCCTGCAAACTGGAGTGGACTGCCATTGTCTTCCCTCTCTCCTTGCCTTCGCTGTATGGGAACACTTTCAGATTTCACCCAGGAAACTTCTAAGGTTTCGAACCAATAAGGGTGGGCAACAGACACTTAAACTTATATAGAATGAAACATATAGAATGAAATCAGTCGTTGATAGAAAGGACCCAAGGGATTTTGTGAAGACCCCAAATCCAAACTGGGTGACTTGGGTGCAACTTCAGGGAGGTAGACCTGGGTAGGGACTGTAAGCTGAAAAGCTTAAACCAAGTCTCAAGCATTGTAGTCTAGCTTGAGAAAGAATATGAGGAGCCCTAGCCAATTTGGCTCAGTGGATAGAGGGTCAGCCCTTGGACTGAAGGGTCCCAGGTTTGATTCCGGTCAAGGGCACCTACCAAGGTTGCAGGCTTGATCCCCTGCCCTGGTTAGGGTGCATACAGGGGGCAACCAATCAACGTCCCTCTCTCATATCGATGTTTCTGTCTGTCTTCTCACTCCCTTCCATTCTCACTAAAAGGAAAAATTTTTTAAAAAGAGAGGGGGGGGGCGGGGGGTGGGAGAGCATCTCTGAAAAGGATGAAGGCAAAATGACTTATTTTGCCCCTAGCACCACGGACGAGAGTGCTTTTCACCCATGGAAATGAATGTCTGGCCCATCTGACAGGTATGTCTGTAGAGTGAAGACACCTGATGCCATTAAACGGGGACATCATTTACATCGCTTTGATTCTATACTGCAGTGTAAGAATCTGGACTCCCATGTAGCTTTCCTTCAAGAAGGAACACACTGTTGGCAAATAACATTATCCAACATTGGTAATTATATTTTTCACTAGAAAGAAATGAGCTCACATGTTAGTTTTAAACATAAGTCCCTTTTGAGTTTGGTTAGCAAACTCAGTATGTCCTCTGAAGCCTGCTTATCTCTGTGAGCTAATGCAATTAGGTCTCTGGCCCTACGGAATGGAAGACCAGGCACTGGAACAGGGCACTCCAACGTATTGTTACTGTCGTCCTTAGGCGGGTCTTGCTTGAAATTGCAAGTTTCTAACAAACTAAGAAGCTCTCTTTGACAGACACTTGTGTCAAACATGTGAAACTACCTCATTAAGAGCTTTTATTGTTACTTTGATTTTGAATGAAGTTCAAGATGATGCTTGTATTAAATTTTATTCTAAACTGTTAGGGCAAGTTTCCCATCAATGTCATTTAATGTATATATACAACACACTTAAATGTGTGTGTGTGTGTGTGTGTGTATGTGTATATATGTCAATTAAATATTTTAATGATTTCTTCATTTAACTAAAATAACTTTCCAAAACCCAGGTGTGCCCTGACTAGGAATTAAACAGCCACCTCCTGGTTCATAGGTTGACACTCAACCACTGAGCCAAGCCAGCTGGACACACTTAAATGGTTTTAAATGACATTCTCTTTATAGGAGAAAATGCTAATTGTATCTTACTAAATTGGGCTCTTCTAGGAATCCATGAACAAATTTCCTAAGAAGTCTGTTTAAGAAACCCTGAATTGTAGAATTACCATTTGGAACAATTTATATATATATTTAAAATAATTACTTCCATTGTGCTAGTAATTACATGTTGGTAATATTTGCTCAATGATATTGAGACATCACACACTGTGCATGATGCATGTAGGAGGAACAAGAAGGGTTCACTTCCTTCTCCAACTGCTATAGGACTTGTAGTACTTCAGACCATTTTCTGCAATGTTTGTAAAATGGAAACTACCCTTAGTGAAATCCAGTCAGATGACTTTTAAAGAGTAGTTCTGAAATGTCTTTTGAGAAGTGAGAGTGCCTTTTGAGCAGATCTGAGCCCACCCAGGTAAGTGATTTCTTTATGTCAGCATTTCCCAAAATAGGTTCTGGGAAATACCACTCGGAGAGAGACATTAATAGGGTGTTACTCAAGTGTCCCCAGTCACAACACTTGAGAAACACCAGGCTAATCAAAGTTAGAAGAGTTCCATTACTGCAGGGCTTCCCAGAACAGATTCATAATCGATTATTCACTGTGCTCAGAGACCGTAGTTCAAATCCCAAACTCATTTGTCCACCGTTTATTTCCCCTTCAGGAACACATGATGGTAAAAGCTTCTTTAAATGAAATATTCCCCCAACACAATCTTTAAAATAGTGTCCGAGAGAGTAAATTCGATTTGTAAAAGGCCACATTCCACTGCACAAACACACAGGCTAGGTCAGGATGGCAGGTATCCTCATTTCTTCTTCTTTAAAATATATATTCATTGATTTCAGAGAGGAAGGGAGAGGGAGATAGAAACATCAAGGATGCCAGAGAATATTGATCAGCTGCCTCCTGCACGCCCCACACTGGGGATCGAGCCCACAACCCGCGCATGTGCTCTGAAAAGGAATCGAACCCGGACCCTTCCATCCACAGGCCAAGGCTCTACCCGCTAAGCCAACCCGGCCAGGGCGGGTCCCCTCACTTCAATTTTGAGGAAACTCCAGTTCAAAAAGTTCAGGCAGTTAGCGCCTATGGCCAGTGGCTACCCTGAAAAAGAACCCAGCCCAGTACATATTCTGCAAATAATCTAAAAGCGCGGAGTCCCATTTCTCCTGGGTATGAGAACTTGATTCTAAGCCCCCCGCCCCCCAGGGAGGGCATTCCGACCCCCTGCATCCCAGTACCTCCAGCCTTTCAAATGGCACTCTGCGTGTTCCCCTTGTACCCCATTCTTCTTCCAGGGCCACAGTTCCTCATCGTTTAACTTAACTCCTCTCTCCCCTGTCTGGCCACAATTCAATACTAATATGCATTTTTTTTTTAGTTACCTGATTTTTAAAAATGGGCAAGTGGGTCGTTCTCTCAGATACTCGAAACCGGCCCTAAAATCACCTGTTTTGATATTGGAGCATCACCATTATTTTCTACGAGCCAGATGGCCTCGAGTAGTTAGTTATAAGGAATACGTCCGAGGCGCTGGGTATTCGAGGGGCCAACCCCGAGGCATCACTTGGGCTGCAAAGTGGCAACTCCATGACTCCTCCCTTTCCGCCCCTCAAAACCGCCGCACGTGGGTCCGCGGAGCAGGCGCCTCCCAGGGCTCCAAGCTCGACTTCTGCGGTCCACGCCCCCGTCGCACGCCCCTCCTTCTCCGCCCCCCCTAACCCCCCCACTGGCCCGGAACAGGTTGTAGAAGGAAGCTAGCCAGACGCCTCTGGATACCTGTGAACT